CACAGTTCAAGAGGGCACAAATGGCAGCATAAACTGCTATACTGTGATGGTACACAATACTTCATACGATATCAAAACTCATACCTGAACATATTCCACTCGTTGGTCTTTCACTCTGTCAGAGTTTCATTCGAAAGGGACGCGGTACGCCTGTTTCATCCGGAACCGGTGCTTTCGGAGGATACAATCAATTGTGGAGAGGCTGATGGCATTTATCCCTCGAAAATTATGATTATCCTCAATCACTCTCCTTTGAATCTCTCGCAGGCAGATTACATTATTGGCAATGACCATGTTTACAAGCTCCCTCTCTTGCTCCTCCGGCAAAAGCCTTAGCCTGCCTCCACCAGGTGGTCGTCTCTGTGTCCTACAAAAATAGAAGCACTCATTACTGTAACTGTCACAAAATGGAAACATACTGAAACTCTATCTGTATGCGAGGCAATTTGATGTATTTCTTTATTACAGTAGCATAGTGCAACAGTGTATGCACTCTAAAGTTACTGTACAGAACAGTCTTACTGTAAGTACACCTACCTTTTTTTCCTCCCCGAAGGTTCTGATGATGGAGGCGACGGTGAAGCTACTCAAAGTCGCTTGTAAGTGTACTCAAAGTGTACTCGTTGCCCAGCCTTTCTTTCCTCCCTCCGCTCTCTAGCTGTGCTACCTGTGTGTGCTTACTAATTTTCCCCACAGAGACTACAAATTAGGAGCGCGCCCCCCAGAGGATCACAGTCGCCGAGAACTAAGACCCCAGTGCAAAACTTCAACTGAATGTTCATATTCCGCCAGGTTATGTTGACATTTCATCAGTTCCTTTGGGCAGTGTGTGACAAACTCATCTCCAGTAATTAACATTAACAATGTCCTCATGGAACCAGCTCCCCTTAGAGCTCTCACTGAAGGTCAAAGCTGTTTATTAAACCTAATGAATATGCCTGGGATTAGCACATTCTGAGGGGGAAACATTAAAGTTCATCTAATTAAAGATAGCTCAAAATATTCCCAAACAACAATACATCACCATAAACATAGATCTACTGTGACAAAGAGAAGACAAGAAGGTTTATACAATTCCCCTTGTTTTTTTATTTATTTTTCATAGATTTTATTGTTATTAGACAATACATTTCAAGCTTTGAGTAGGTTGTAGTGTAGGTAAACTGTAGTGGATTCAGATGGACCTTCTCAAGGTCTTCATAACACTCTACGAGGAACAGAACTTTTAGATTGTTAATCTATACTCAGTTTTCAGTTATTTATATTTTCAAAAGGTAATCCTCATTAACTATCTTCTTAAAGTTTGATCACAATGAAATTAACTTTCAGGCAACATATCTTGTTCCAGGGATCTTGGCTGACAATTACAAAACAAAATCCTAAAGTTTCCCAACCAGCACCATTATTTGTACCATGCATTTACAAGAAGATTAAAGATAAAAAATAAAATGCTCTTATGCACCCAGTAGTCAAATACACTGACTTCATGCATTAAATTTTCACTGCATGCTCAGCACATCTGCATTTAACATTCCTATGGAAGCTTGCTTTCGCCACAGAATAAAAAACAAAACAAAAATAAAAATGTAATTGTAACGTATCTCTTTCATTTATATCTCACAATTAGGACTTTTTCTCAGAATTGTAAGTTTATATTTCACAACTGAGGGTTTATATCTTGCAGCTCTGACCTTTTTTCTCAGAATTACCCCCACCAAAAATACAATTATTTTAATTGTTTTATTCTGTGCTAGAAAAGGGCTTCCATAAATTTCTGTTCTTATTGATTCAGTAAATTGAAATTCACATTGACTTCAAAATATAAAAATTCTCAGGCTTGTTACAAAAACATCAAATGTTTTAATGATGTTATATTTATTATCCTAACATATTTTCTGTTGATATTGCTAGTCACGTGTGACTAATTTGCTTATTACAACCCCCACAATCATTTTACTGTCAAATAGACAATACAAATAACTAAACTTTCCTAAATTTCCAAGATGTTGTCCCTCTCTCTGTTTCTCTCTCTCTCTCCCTATATGCTCATGCTCAACAGTTTATGTTTTAATACAGTATTTGTTTTGGAGTGCAATATATCATACTAATAAGTGGCTGTTTTGAAGTATGCTATTACAACAGGCATATTGTTTAGGAGAAGATTTGCATAGAAGCCTTTGACATGCCTTATGAGCTTTTGAGTTGTAACATCCTCAAGATGTTTTTTTTTTTCTGTACCTTTGATCTTGTTGGCCTGGAGATACAGATTCTCCAGACTGGTGCTGATAGTAGGAATCCTCTCCAACTTGTTGAAGGACAAATCGAGCTCCACAAGTGTGCTGAAATTGAAAGCGTTGGTTGGAATTCCCCCATTGGTGAGCTGGTTGTGGGACAGGCGTACGAAGCGCAGCTCAGGCCGCTGGCTCAGAAAATCAGCAGGAACGCTGGATATGCGGTTGTACTCGAGGTAGAGCTGGCTCAGCATTGGCGGCAGGCTTTCTGGAATCTTCTTCAGTCGGTTCCCTCTTAAGTCTAACAGGGTCAACGAATGCAGACCCTCAAGTGCATTGCCGAGGTCTTCAATTGCATTCACTTGGAGGTGCAGGGCCGTTAGGTTGCTCATTCCATGGAAAGATTCAACGGGGATCTTCGAGATATTGTTGTGATTCATGTGTAGATCTCGTAAGGAACGTGGTAAACCCTGTGGAACCCGGCTCAGGTTGTTGTTGTGTAAAAAGAGGCGCTGGAGGTTTGGTAGTTTGGCGAAGACTTTGTCACCAATCTTGTCAGAGTTCAGTTTATTTGTGTATAGGCTGATCCAAGCTAAATTTGGAGCATTATCAAAGACTCCATTTGTGATGGTCGTGATCTGGTTATTTTGCAGGTATACATACTTGATATGAGATGGGAAAAACTAGACGTGCTGCAGCTGGTGGTTGTCGCAGTACATCGCACTGGGGTAGGATGGAGTGCAGTCACACTCCAAAGGACAGTCCAGCACAGGAGGTTCATCCTCATCCTCTGCTCTTAGAGAAGCATGGTTGTTATTGTGACTGCGGCCATAACCATGATTGTAGGCTCGGTTGCGCAGATAACTTAGCCAGGTCAAAGAGTTGGTCGGTTGTGTCATGGAAAAATCGACAAGCCTTGCCAACATCAGGAGTAAAATCCAACCTTTCATTGTGACTACGAGTTTCCTGTCAGGACACAAATACATATACAAATATCATTTTTGAGACCACTAAAATAATTAATTCATTAATTTGAGACCATAATAAATTCCTTATTTTCGATTACAAATCTTTAAATTATCAAATTAAATTATTATTATTATTATTATGTTTACATTTTTAATAAATACATTAGTAACTTTTAATTAGATATTCATAATTTTTTCAGTATAAATTCTTTAAATTATCATTAAATTATCAAACAATTTTGTTGTTATTTTAAAAAACTTTGTAATTGAACTATTCATTTTAATGATAAATTATCCAGAATAAATTAATATTTGCTATTACAAATTCTTTAAATTGTCAAATAACAGTATCATTCTGATTTTTATTCATAATAAATTAAAACTTTTTATTTCAAATTATTTAAATTAATATAAAATGATGATGATGATGATGATTATTGTTATTATTAATATTAGTGGTGGTGGTAGTGATAATGATGATGATCTTGATCTCCAGCATGATATGAGAATGAACTAAAGAGTATCTTGTGCTTCAATAGAAGAAAGAACATTACCTGCCTGTATGTCAATGTTACACATTTACTTATTTGATTAGTGACCCCGATATTTCTTTTTAAATTTCATGTCGTATTATTTATCTATTCTACATTTTTCACATGTACTTAAACATAATAGATAAATATATAATAACAAGGACATGCATATAAAATCCCAGATTTCCAAAGTGGTTTCAGACCGCACGAGCCAGTATAGGCACTCAACAATTTTTTTTGTGTTTTATATGAGCTGTATCAAAGAACATCATTATGTTCCACAAGCATTAAGGCACAGACATGCATACTGTAGATCTTATATCCTCCTGACAATTGTTTCTATATATATACTATCATTACAAGAAATCATCATCATTATTTACGTGTGGTATGTTTTATATCTCTCAAAGCAAAGTTGTGGTTAAAACAGACATCATAAAATATCTCTCAGGTCTGGGCAAGTATGCTACATGTAATATACAGTAGGTTTTTTCATTTGCAAGAAAACACAGAAGGTTTATGTGAAGAGAAGTGAGTTTTGCCTAAAGGAAGGTTCGGTACAAATGAGATAACGTCATTTAGAATAAAGATGATTTTCAACATTGTAATTATTGGAGTATATTTTGCAATAAAATAATGATTCAGTAAAAACAATTCAGTCGTTCTACTACATAAACTGCATGGACAAAAATGCACTCCTCTACTTCATAATGCATTTGGTTTTATGCAATATATCTGCTTAAATTAAAAAGATTAAACACATACCTGTTGTTGTAGCCTCTGTGCTTTTTGGTTTTTGGCTTTTTGCCCCTTTTATGTGTGGGAAAAAAATAAAGTACAGAAACAAGATGGAGAGAGAATAAGAAAAATCATGCTGCATTCAAACATCTCGATGAAATCATTATCCTGGTACATCATGAATGTTTGTATTACACTCATATTCTTATAATTCTGAAATACATTTATACACATGCAGAAGAAAAATAATTAACTGTACCTTATATAATGTGCCCCGTACAGCCGTTTTTACAGTATTTATACAATTAATCACATTCCAATAAATGGATGTTGCACAGCCCAAAGCCTTCAGTGTAAAGCCAGTATACAGTAAAGCTTTGTCTACTGCCTCACTTACATGTTATGCTGTGTTTTGTGCCTTGAGGCTTTGTGAATATGAGTGCCATGTGTGAGAAGGCAAAACATCTGCATTTTAACAGCCTTACTTCATAGATTCCGTCAGGACGGGACCCCAGCCTTATCATTATCCCTACACGGGATGAGCCTTTTTGCGTGTGTGCGTGCATTTCTGGGGCATTTGACTTAGTATGATGGGACACGTTTTATCTTGGGTTGGAATTACAGTGGTTTTACATACTGGAAAAGGGGTTTCTTAATGTTAAGCTCAACAAATAGCTTGTGTAGTGAAAACATGATGGATTTTAGTGAAAACAGTAAAACTGGATGCTTCAAAGTAGCCCAACTGGATCTCTTGCAGTTAACCAGCTGGCTAGCAATAGTACAAGCTACGTGTTAAACATAATTGTATAGGAAAGCAAAAAAAAAAGGCAAGTCATAAATACCAAAAAGTTCAAAATTAAGAGCCATTGTTTGCATTTTAAATGTTTTTAATGAAGGGATGGTGTTGTTCTTATGTGCAAATCAGTTCCATCGTATTAAGAAATGCTCAGAATACTTGGAAATATTTATATAGCCATATTTATTTGTTGGCCATGGTGCATTTAATGACATCATGATGTCAGAGCAAACATAATGTGGAGTCAATTACTCATTTGTCACAAGGGCATGTTTAACCAGCAGTCGTTTCTTCAGCTTAATGCAGATTAATACATACTTTATTTAATTAATGCATACAAATGTTTATATAACATCGTGGTGTAATGTTTTTGGCTGCTGTTTTTTAATAGGATGCATAACATACTCCCCCTGCAGTATTACACACAGCAAACATTAAAGGGGTGGTTGATTGCGATTTCACTTTCTTAACGTTAGTTAGTGTGTAATGTTGCTGTTTGAGCATAAACAATATCTGCAAAGTTACAAAGCTGAAAGTTCAATGCAAACGGAGATATCGTCTTTTAAAATTCTGGCAGTTTAATGCTTACAAAAACGGCTGGTAGGGACTACAACAAGTTACTTCCCGGGTTCGTGACGTAACAAACCCAGATAAACCTCGCCCTCGGGAAAAGGCAACAAAGGGGGCCAAGGCCATGCTGTGCTGCGTTAGAGAAGAGGAAGAGAAAACTAGAGGTGCACGTAAAAATCTATTCATATATGAATCGCGATTCTGTCTTCTAACGATTCTAATGGATTCAGGCTCAAACTGATAAGCGATATTAACTATGCAGTTGTTTACAATACAACCAGAGCACATGCCGCCGCTGAGGTGAGGGGTGATTAATAATATCCTCTGCTTCTCAATGGGGCTCAAACTGATAAGCGATATTAACGATGCAGTTGTTTACAATACAACCAGAGCACATGCCGCCGCTGAGGTGAGGGGTGGGACGTTTAGACGTGCGCTAGAGGCGATTTAGCCAATCACAACACACTTGGCTAGCTAACCAATCAGAGTCCATCGCCTATTTCTGAGGGAGGGGCTTCATAAAAGCAGGAAATGATCAGCGTGTTTCTCAGAGAAGGGACAGAGCGGTGTGGAATAAAGGTAAATTATGTGAAAAATAATGCGTTTTTTTAAAAACGAAGCATTAACACATGTTAGACTGCACCCCATAAACACAATCAAGCCTAGAAAAAAAACAGTGAACCACCCCTTTAATACTTGGTTTTAAAAAAGTGACTAATAAAATGGATATTATTTTCAAACAACGTTCAACAAAATTATTAAAAATACACTTACACTACAGATACAGTTTGAAGTAAATGTGATACACCTCATGCATCCTTACAGATGTTAACACAAATATTATTTATGCTATAACTAACTGGTGCAGGCTTTAAAAAGAGAAATGAAGACTAAATGCCATGAAAGGCCCCCTTTTTCCCTCAATCTCCAATTAAGTGATCTGATTTTCTGAAGTGTCCTCAAGAGCTATGCACATTTCCACATGCATTTGTTTATCACGGCCCTGGTGCTTCTTTCACTGCAGCAGCCATTTTCTTTCTTCTTTTTAGAAGAAGAGGATTGGACGCATCCTTAATCGGTTTAACCTTTATTTGTTCATAGTCCACTCTTATTGTTGCTAAGGCATTAGTCATCTCTTCCTGTGTAATTACACACACAATAGACTTAGCAAGAGCATTTACAAAAAATAATGACTTATACACTATTAGGCATAGACACTATTGTTCAAAAGTTTGGGGTCGGTAAGTAATGTTTTTGAGTCTCTTATTTTCACCAAGGCTGCATTTATTTAATTAAAAATAATGTAGAAACAGTAATACTGTGAAATATTATTACAATTCAAACTGTTTTCTATTTGAATATATTTTAAAATGTAATTTGTTCCTGTGATGCAATGCTGGATTTTCAGCATCATTACTCCAGTCATCAGTGTCACATGATCTTTCTTCTAATATGCTGATTTGATGCTCAAGAAATATGATGAAAACAATTGTGATGCTTTATTATTTTTGTAGGAATGATTATATATGGTTTATGATTCAACAGAAAAGCATTTATGTGGAAATATAAATCCTTTTTTTTTCTAACCCCAAACTTTTGAACGGTGCTGTACGTATGATAAACTGTTTGATTTATGCATATCTGAATACATGATACAGAGAACAGACCTTGACTTCATCCCAGACGTGACTCTCTTCCTTAAGAACTCGACTTGTGTGTAGATGTGTTGGAGGAACATTCATTGACTTCTGCAAACATCCCGAGAGAGAAACACGCTTAGGAATGCAAATTATTAAATATGCAAATTAAATAGTCTTGCTAAACGTTAAATATGG